AAATGACAGTGCATGGGGCAACCAAAGCCTCTGAAGAGTGAAGGGAGAGAATGGGAGTCTAAAATTCTGGTGGGTAATAACAAACTTCTCTGAGCTAAAGGAGCATGTCCTAACCCGATACAAAGAAACTAAGAACTTGAAAAAAGTTTAGTTGAAGTGCTAACTAGAATAACCAGCTTACAGAAAAATATAAATGACTTGATGGAGCTGAAAAACACAGCACAAGAACATCTCAAAGCATACACAAGTTTCAATCACCAAATAGATCAAGCAGAAGAAAGGATATCAGAAACTGAAGATCAACTCAATGAAATAAAATGTGAAGGCAAGATTAGAGGAAAAAGAGTGAAAAGAAATGAACAAAGCCTCTAAGAAATATGAGATTGTGTGAAAAGACCTAATCTACATTTGATCGGTGTACCTGAATTTGACAGGGAGAATGAAACCATGTTGGAAAACACTCTTCAGGATATTATCCAGGAGAACCTTCCCAACCTTGGCAAGACAGGTTAATATTCAAATCCAGGAAATACAGAGAACATCACAAAGATATTCCTCAAGAAGAGCTACCCCAAGGTACATAATTGTCAAGATTCACCAGGGTTGAAATAAAGGAAAATAAAGCGAAGGACAACAAGAAAGGTCAAGTTACCCACAAAGTTACCCATTAGACTCACAGCAGATTTCTTGGCAGAATCCCTGCAAGCCAGAAGAGACTGGGGACCAATATTCAACATCCTTAAAGAAAATAACTTTCAACCAAGAATTTTATATCCAGTCAAACTAAGCTTCATAAGCAAAAGAGAAATAAAATCCTTTATGGACAAGCAATTGCTGAGAGATTTTGTCACCACCGGGCCTGCCTTACAAGAGCTTCTGAAGGAAGCACTAAGCATGGAAAGGAACAACCAGTACCAGTCACTCCCAAAACATCCCAAATGGTAAAGACCATAGACACAATGAATAAAATGTGTCAACTAACAGGCAAAACACTCAGCTAGTATCAAAATGGCAGGATCAAATTCACACATAACAATATTAATCTTAAATATAGATGGGCTAAATGTCCCAATCAAAAGACACAGACGGTCAAATTGGATAAAGAGTCAAGCCCCATTGGTGTGCTGTATTCAGGAGACCCATCTCATGTGCAAAGACACACATAGACTCAAAATAAAGGGATGAAGATTTACCAAGCAAATGGAGAACAACAACAACAAAAAAGCAGAGGTTGCGATTCTAGCCTCTGACAAAACAAATTTTAAGCCAACAAAGATCAAAAGAGACAAAAAAGGTCATTACATAATGGTAAAGGGATCAATGCAACAAGAAGAGGCAACTATTCTAAATATATATGCACCAATACAGGAGCACCCAGATGTGTAAAGCAAGTTCTTAATGACCTACAAATAGACTTAGACTCCCAAACAATAAGAGTGGAAAACTGTAACACTCCATTGTCAATATTAGACAGATCAACGAGACAGAAAATTAACAAGGATATCCAGGACTTGAACTCAAGCCTGGACCAAGCAAACCTAATAGACATTTACAGAACTCTCCACCCCAAATCCGCAGAATATGCATTCTTCTCAGCACCACATCTCACTCTAAAATTGACCACATAATTGGAAGTAAATAACTCATCAGCAAATGCAGTAGAACAGAAATCATAACAAACAGTCTCACAGACCACAGTACAATCAAATTAGAACTCAGGATGAAGATACTCACTGAAAAGTGCACAACTACATGGAAAGCTGAGCAACCTGATCCTGAATGACTACTGGATAAATAATGAAATAAAGGCAGAAATAAAGATGTTCTTCAAAAATAGTGAGAACAAAGACACAATGTACCAAAAATATCTGGGACACATTTAAAGCAGTGTCTAGAGGGAAATTTATGTCAATATATGCCTGTGTGAGAAGGGAGGAAAGATCTAAAATTGACACCCTCTCATCACAAAAGAACTAGAAGCAAGATCAAACAAATTCAAAAGCTAGCAGAAGACAAGAAATAACTAAGATCAGAACAAAACTGAAGGAGATAGAGACATAAAAAACCCTAGAAAAAAATCAATGAATCCAGGAGGTGGTTTTTTGAAAAGATCAACAAAATAGATACACTGCTAGCCAGACTTAAAAAAGAAAAGAGAGAAGAATCAAACAGATTCAATTAAAAAATGATAAAATGAATATCACCACTGATTCCACAGAAATACAAACTACAATCAGAGATTACTACGAACACCTCTATGCATGTAAACCAGTAGAAGAAATGGATAAATGCCTGGACACTTACACCTTCCCAAGACTAAACCAGGAAGAAGTTGAATTCCTGAATAGACCAACAACAAGGTCTGAAATTCAGGCAGTAATTAATAGCCTACCAACCAAAAAAGTCCAGGACTAGATCAGTTCACAGATGAATTCTATCAGACTTACAAAGAGGAGCTGGTACCATTCCTTCTGAAACAATTCCAAACAATACAAAAAGAGGGAATCCTCCCTAACTCCTTTTATGAGACCAACATCATCCTGGTTCCAAAACCTGGCAGAGACACAACTAAAAAAGAAAATTTCAGGTCAATATCGCACATCAAAAAGCTTATCCATCACAATCAAGTCAGCTTCATCCCAGGGATGCAAGGCTGGTAGAACGTATGCAAATCTATAAAGTAATCCATCACATAAATGGAACCAAAGACAACACATGATTATCTCAATAGATGCAGAGAAAGCCTTTGACAAAATTCAACAGCCTTATATGCTAAAAACTCTCAATAAACTGGATATTGATGAAATGTATCTTAAGATAATAAGAGCTATTTATGACAAACTCGCAGCCAATGTCATACTGAATGGGCAAAAACTGGAAACAGTCCCTTTGAAAACTGGCACTAGACAAGGGTGCCCTCTCTCACCACTCCTATTCAACATGGCATTGGAAGTTCTAGCCAGAGCAATCAGGCAAGAAAAAGAAGTAAAGGGTATTCAATTAGGAAAAGAGTAAGTCAAATGGTCTCTATTTGCAGATGACATGATTGTATATTTAGAAGACCCCGTCATTCTCAGCCCAAAATCTCCTTAAGCTGATAAGCACTTCAGGAAAGTCTCAGGATACAAAATCAATGTGCAAAAATCACAAGCATTCCTATACACCAACAACAGACAAACAGTGAAATCATGAGTGAATTCCCATTACAATTGCTACAAAGAGAATAAAATACCTAAGAATACAACTAAAAAGGTATGTGAAGGACCTCTTCAAGGAGAACTACAAAACACTGCTCGAAGGAAATAAAAGAAGACACAAACAGATGGAAAACCATTCCATACTCATGGTTAGGAAGAATCAATATCGTGAAAATGGCCATACTGCCCAAAATAATTTATAGATTCAATGCTATTCCCATCAAGCTACCATTGACCTTCTTCACAGAACTGAAAAAAACCACCTTAAACTTCATATGAGAACAAAAAGGAGCCCACATAGCCAAGACGATCCTAAGCAAAAAACCAAACAAACAAACAAAGCTGGAGGCATCATGCTACCTCACTTCAAAGTATACTACAAGGCTACAGTTACCAAAACAGCATGGTACTGGTACCAAGACAGAGATATAGACCAGTGAAACAGAACAGAGGCCTTGGAAGTAACGCCACACATCTACAACCGTCTGATCTTTGACAAACCTGACAAAAACAGGCAATGGGGTAAGGATTCCTTGTTTAATAAATGGTGTTGGGAAAACTGGCTAGCAGTGTGCCAAAAGCAGAAACTGGACTCCTTCCTTACAACTTATACAAAAATTAACTCCAGAATGGATTAAAGACTTAAACATAAGACCTAACACCATAAAAACCCCAGAAGAAAACCTAGGCAAAACCATTCAGGACCTAAGCATAGGCAAGGACTTCATGACTAAAACACCAAAAGCTTTGGCAACAAAAGCCAAAATAGACAAATGGGATCTAGTTAAACTTAAGAGCTTCTGCATAGCAAAAGAAATAATCATTAGAGAGAACCGGCAACCAACAGGGGAGATAAAATGTTTGCAATCTACGCACCTGACACTGAGCTAATATCCAGGATCTACGAAGAACTTAAATTTAAAAGAAAAAAACGAACAACCTTATCAAAAAGTGGGCAAAAGATATGAACAGACCCTTCTCAAAAGAAGACATTTATGTAGCCAAGAAACATATGAAAAAGTGCTCATCTTCACTGGTCATTAGAGAAATGCACATCAAAACCACATTGAGATACCATCTCACACCAATTAGAATGGTGATCATTAAAAAATCTGGAGACAACAGATGCTGGAGAGGTTGTGGAGAAATAGGAACACTCTTACACAGTTGGTGGGAGTGAAAGTTAGTTCAACCACTGTGGAAGACAGTGTGGCGATTCCTCAAGGGTCTAGAAATAGAAATACCATGTGACCCAGCAATCCCAGTTACTGGGTATATACCCAAAGAATTATAAATTGTTCTATTACAAAAACACATGCACATGTATGTTCATTGTGGCACTGTGTGCATTAGCAAAGACTTGGAACCAACCCAAATGTCCATCAATGATAGACTGGATAAAGAAAATGTGGCACATATATACCATGGAATACTATGCAGCCATAAAAAAGGATTAGTTCATGTCCTTTGCAGGGACGTGGATGAAGCTGGAAACCATCATTCTCAGCAAACTGACACAAGAACAGAAAATCAGACACCACATGTTCTCATTCATAAGTGGGTGTTGTACAATGAGAACACATGGACACAGGGAGGGGACCATCACATACCAAAGCCTGTTGGGTGGTGGGGAAGCTAGGGGAGGGATAGCAGGGGCTGAGGGGATTTGGGCAGGATAACATTAGAATTATCTAATGTAGGTGACAGAGGGATGGATTCAGCAAACCACCATGGCATGTGTATACCTATGTAACAATCCTGCACAATCTGCACATGTACCCCAGAACGTAAAGTATAATGAAAGTACTCGCTTCGGAAGCACATATACTAAAATTGGAACGATACAGAGAAGATTAGCATGGCCCCTGCACAAGGATGACACACAGATTTGTGAAGCGTTCCATATTTTTAGCAGTCATTAGAGTAAATCGGCAACCAACCGATTTCCATTTGACCCAGCAATCCCATTACTAGGTATATATCCAAAGGAATATAAATTGGTCTACTATAAGGACACATGCACACGAATGTTCATTGCAGCACTGGTTTACAATAGCAAAGACCTGGAACCAACCCAAATACCCATCAATGATAGACTGGACAGGGAAAATGTGGCACATATACACCATGGAATATTATGCAGCCATCAAAAATGTTGAGTTTGTGTCCTTTGTAGGGACATGGATGAACCTGGAAACCATCATTCTCAGCAATCTGACATAAGAACAGAAAATCAAACACCGCATGTTCTCACTCATAGGTGGGTGCTGAACGATGAGAACACACGGACGCGGGGAGGGGAGCATCACACACTGGGTCTGTTAGGGGGAAACAGGGGAAGGACAGCGGCGGGTGGGGAGTTTGGGAGAGACAGCATGGGGAGAAATGCCAGATACAGGTGACGGGGAGGAAGGCAGCAAATCACACTGCCACGTGTGTACCTATGCGACAATCTTGCGTGTTCTTCACATGTACCCCGAAAAATAAAATGCAATAAAAAAAAATAAAAAAAAAATTTAAGTATAATGAAAAAATAAAAACACAATTTAAAAAAAAGCTGGTTTTTCAAAAACAAAAAATAAAATAAAATAAATAAATTTCTGGATTGTAGATTTTCCCAAGTCTCCCTCTGAGCCCCAAACTATGCACAAACAGGAAAGACTCAGAGATGCTTTCAGGTAAATCCAAACAAATGAACTGATATTTCATGGAAAGTTTTCACTCTCAGTTTAACCAATTTAATTTCCTTATGAGAAAAAAAAATGGCAACACTCTTTGGAGTTATACAAACCACAATCTCTACAGCTATATATTCAAAATAATACGTAATTCAAAAATACTTGGCACACGAAGAACTGGAAAACTGACTCATTTTTAAGGGAAAAGATAATCAATGGAGGCCAGCACCGAGATGACTCCAATGGAATTATCAGATGAGAACTTTAAGGCAACTATCATAACTCTGCTCAGTGAGGTAAAGGAAAACATGCTTATAATAAATTGAAAAGATGAACATTTTCAGCAGAAAAAAATAGAATTATAAAGCAAAGTAGAATAAAAATTATGGAACTGGAGAATACAGCTGGGTGTGGTGGCTCATGCCGGTAATCCCAGCACTTCGGAAGGCTGAGGCAGGTGGATCACTTGAGGTCAGGAGTTCGAAACCAGCCTGTCCAACATGGCGAAACCCTGTCTCTACTAAAAATACAAAATTAGCCAGGCATGATAGTGCATGCCTCTAATCCCAGCTACTCTGGAGGATGAGGCGGGAGAATCGCTTGAACCCGGGAGGCGGAGGTTGTAGCAAGCCAAGATCATGCCACTGCACTCCAGCCTGGGCAACAAGAACAAAACTCCATCTCAAAAAAAAAAAAAAAAAAAAAAAAAAAAAAAAAAGAACTGGATTATACAACATCTGACATTAAAAAAAACCTCTGGGCCGGGCGCGGTGGCTCAAGCCTGTAATCCAGCACTTTGGGAGGCCGAGACGGGTGGATCACGAGGTCAAGAGATCGAGACCATCCTGGTCAACAATGGTGAAACCCCGTCTCTACTAAAAATACTAAAAATTAGCTGGGCATGGTGGTGCGTGCCTGTAATCCCATGCTACTCAAGAGGCTGAGGCAGGAGAATTGCCTGAACCCAGGAGGCGGAGGTTGCGGTGAGCCGAGATCGTGCCATTGCACCCCAGCCTGGGCAACAAGAGCGAAACTCCGTCTCAAAAAAAAAAAAAAAAGTTCGCCGGGCATCGTGACGGCAGGCGCCTGTAGTCCTAGCTTTTTTGGAGCCCGAGGTGGGAGGATTGCCTGAGGTCGGGAAGTGGAGGCTGCCATGGGCCTCTGCGTAGGCATGTTAGAATAAAAATGATAGTGAAAAGAAGCAGTGAGCTGGGAGACAGATCAATAGAAATTTTCCCATCTGAAGAAAATAAATATTATTTATTTTTTAAATTGAAGGCCAGGTGCAGTGGCTCACACCTGTAATCCCAGCACTTTGGGAGTTCTGAGGCAGGTAGATCATTTGAGGTCAGGAGTTCAAGAACAGCCTGGCCGACATAGTGAAACCTCGGTCTCTACTAAAAATACAAAAATTAGCCAGGAGTGGTGGCAAGCACCCGTAATCCCAGCTACTTGGGAGGCCTAGGCAGGAGATTCTCTTGAACTTGGGAGGTGGAGGTTGCAGTGACCTGTGATCTCACCACTGCACTTCAGCCTGGGTGACAGAGAGAGTCTCTGTCTCAAAAAAATAAAATATGAATAGTTCCTCAGGGTCCTGTGGGATAATAGAAAAAGATTTTTTTTAATATACGCAAGTGGAGACTCACAGAGAGAGGAAAGAAAGAATGAAGCAGAGCAAATTTATGAAGAAATAATTGCTAAAAACATTCTAGATCAAATGACAGCCATAATTTATAGATTTTTAAAGCTCAGAATCCCCCAAATGTAGTAAAACAAACAAATTTATAGATGGTAAAGCTAATTGCTGAAAACCAAAGAAAATATCAAAAACATCCAGAGGACAGAAAACCTAATTTACCAAGTAAAAGTGATACAAACCAATTTGTATGCAAACTGATTATCAAAAAATTGGATTTTTATTAGAAACTATGCCAAATTCAGTAGCACAGTATCTTTAAGGTGTTGAAAGAAAAAACAGGAAAGTTAATCCAGAATTCTAAGACAGAAAACTAAGAAAAAATTCTGCAGGCTGGAGGGAAATTACACCAAAGGAAAAGTCTAATTGTCAAGAAGTAATGAAATGATAACTATCTGGGTAAATGTAAAAGCCTTTTTTCTTTAATACCCATATTAACAAGGGTATTAAACACATGTGAATGTTTAAACGAAAGAATAACATATTCCTGTGGGACTAATCATGAATGTAGGTTTCATACAAATAACAAAGAACCTTTACAATTGTAAAATTTCTGCATTCTACAAGAATTGATACAATATTAACTCTAACAGAGAGTATAAATTAAAGATGTATATTATAATCCTTAGAGCAACCATTTAAAAATATGGAAAAGAAATTTTAAAAAGCCAATATATTAAAATTGAGTTTAAGAAATATTCAAGTAATCCACATAAGAAAAGGCGGAACAAAGGAACAAAATACAGAGGAAAAAACAGTCCTTAATATCATTATGTCAATAACTGTATCACATTTAATTGGATTAAATTCTCCCATTAAAATAAAAAATAAGCCGGATGAATTTTTTTTTTTTTTTTTTTTGAGACGGAGTTTCGCTCTTTTTACCCAGGCTGGAGTGCAATGGCGCGATATCGGCTCACCGCAACCTCCGCCTCCTGGGTTCAGGCAATTCTCCTGCCTCAGCCTCCTGAGTAGCTGGGATTACAGGCACGCGCCACCATGCCCAGCTAATTTTTTTGTATTTTTAGTAGAGACGGGGTTTCACCATGTTGACCAGGTTGGTCTCGATCTCTCGACCGTGTGATCCACCCGCCTCGGCCTCCCAAAGTGCTGGGATTACAGGCTTGAGCCACCGCGCCTGGCCAAGCCGGATGAATTTTTAAAAAGCATAACAATTTCTTTTTTTTTTTTTTTTTTTTTTTTTTTTTTTTGAGACGGAGTTTCGCTGTTACCCAGGCTGGAGTGCAATGGCGCGATCTCGGCTCACCGCAACCTCCGCCTCCTGGGTTCAGGCAATTCTCCTGCCTCAGCCTCCTGAGTAGCTGGGATTACAGGCACGTGCCACCACGCCCAGATAATTTTTTGTATTTTTAGTAGAGACGGGGTTTCACCATGTTGACCAGGATGGTCTCGATCTCTCGACCTCGTGATCCACCCGCCTCGGCCTCCCAAAGTGCTGGGATTACAGACTTGAGCCACCGTGCCCGGCAAAGCATAACAATTTCAATCTGCTCTCTACAAGAAATGCATTTAATATAAAGATGCAGGCAAGTTGTGAGTAAATGTATTTAAAAATAAATATTACAGAAGCAGTAAGTATAAGGTTTGAGTGCATATTTTAATGTGAGATAAAATAGACACCAAGACAACAAGAATGAACTGAGATAAAGACATTTTATTAGGATTTATCACAGACGTCTGTGCACCCAGTAACAAAGTTTCAGAATACATAAAGCAGAAATAGGCAGATAAAGGGGGAAATAAACAATTTCAAAATTGCAGTAGGAGATCTAAATACCTCTTCCTGAGCAATCGCTAAATAACCAGACAACAAAAAAAAAAACAGTAGACATAGATGATCTGAATCTATCAGCCAAATAGACCCAACTCATATTTGTAGAACACTACACCCAACAACTACAAATTCTTTCAAAGTATAAGACAATCTAATTTTTAAAAACGGAAAACAGCCGGGTGCAGTGGCTCAAGCCTGTAATCCCAGCACTTTGGGAGGCCGAGGCGGGTGGATCACGAGGTCGAGAGATCGAGACCATCCTGGTCAACATGGTGAAACCCCGTCTCTACTAAAAATACAAAAAATCAGCTGAGCATGGTGGCGCGTGCCTGTAATCCCAGCTACTCAGGAGGCTGAGGCAGGAGAATTGCCTGAACCCAGGAGGCGGAGGTTGCGGTGAGCCGAGATCGCGCCATTGCACTCCAGCCTGGGTAACAAGCGAAACTCCGTCTCAAAATAAATAAATAAATAAATAAATAAATAAATAAATAAATAAATAAAAAGGAAAACAAACTACATAACAGGAAAGAATATCCACTCTCTCTCTCTATATATATATATGCACATATATATATATGCATATATATATATGCACGTATATATATATATAAATCAAAGAATTTGTATAACATATAAAGAGCTTACATATCAATAGAAAGAAGCCAACAGCAACAAAAAATGAGCAAACCAGTTGAGTAGACACCTCACAAAAGAATACGGTCAAATGATACTCACAGGAAA